TTATAGTCAAATATTCTACGTCGAATATTATTTTTGTATCTGATCCTATTTTGAAGAGCAAAAGGAAAAGACCATGAGGAAGTGAGAATTTGGTGATCACTGTTGGATATAGTTTCAGGATCTGTAAGTGTAAAGTTTAGGAAGTATATATTTTTTTTTGTAATATTAACTTAAATTTATAATATATATAAAATTTTAGACTACTTTACCTATAAACTAAACTTCTACTCTAGAATATTTTATACTTATTTTATAGTATATTTAGAGCTTTTATACCTTTATTAATATTTATATAAATCTAGTTCTTACTGTAGCTTTTCACTAGTAGTCATTCAAATGTTTTATGAGGTAGATTATCCTAAATCTAGTTAGCTACTAAGCCAGACTAGGATTGCTATTTCTCCTTATAAGATAGACTTACTCGTATCTAACTCAATCTGTATTTTTGTACTACTAAATCAAGTATTAACTAGTATAATTATTAAAATCTATACTATTTTACCTAACTTAGAATTTCTACTATATAGGTCCTTTGCTTATAGATCCTATTAAGATTTATTTATATAATATTATATCTTTTTGAATATTACATCATACTTCTAATATTTAATTAATATTAGTACAATATAATTTACAGAGTTACAACTCTAGAAATAGACAGAGTTTACTATAAGTTAGGTACAAAGATTTAAGTAATTATTCAAATTTATCAACAGTAGGATTTGAACTTCAGACTTCTTATATAGTAGTCTAATAATCTAACTACTATACTAAGATTATCAGATTTAAAACAAAGATATTTTAATAAATTTATTTATTTATTATTATTATATAAGTTATACTAAATTAAAATCTAAAACTAAATATTAATATATTTAGTTTTAGGTTTTAGTCTAGCAAAACTTATATTTAAATAAATAATTTAATAAATTTTATTTTAGATATAATATTATTGTAATAATTAGCTAGATAATAGTATTTTAACATATACTAAGATAGGTTGTATTCAATGCTTTGTATATAATTTGATTGCTTAATAGATATTTTAAATATAGAATAAAATTGATCCTAACTTTATATGAAAAGCTTTCAAGTATTGTAATATATCTAACAAATAAGATAGTATAGAAAATAGTTTAATTTTTGATTATAATAGATGTAGTCAATATATAAACTCATGTAATTATATTTATATACAAGATGAGTTTAAAAACTCTAATAAAAGTTTAGATACAAATATTGCTATAGGCTTTAATACAAATATTATTGAAAGTTTTAATACAAATACTAGTAAAAACTTTAATACAAATACTAGTAAAAGCTTAAATATAAATATTAGTAAAAATTTATAAAATATAATTTAGAGTTTATAAGTTATCAATTAATAATATAAAGTTTTTGTCTTAAAAATAGCCTTATAGTATATAGTAATTACTATGTACTATTAGTTTATTTTCAAGGCAAAAACTTTATATAAATATAGTATTAACTAATTTTTAAGTTTTTAATTAAGTAGTGATAATTAATTTTATAAGTGAAAATATATAATATTTACTTTTAGGTCTCAAGATTTATAAGATTATATCTAATCATTAATATAATTAATTTTCTCTACTTTATAATAATCATCTTCACTTTCACTAGCTTTATTATTATTATCAGAATTAGTTTTATATTCATGAATAGAATTGGCTTTAGCTTTATTGTTAATATTATAAATTAAGTAATACAAGTTTTTTTTAAAATTTTTATTTAGTTTTTAAATATAACTTTAATAAATTTAATTGAATTTAAAATAAAAGTCTAAAGATAAGTATACTAAATTTTTTTTTATATTTTTTTAATATAATTTTATTAATTTATTGATCATGTTGTTACATCTAAAATTTAAAGCTGAAAACCAAAGATTATATTAAAACAATAACAAAACAATTGTAGTCTAAATACTATAATATAGAATTTGCATTAAAAATTTTTCAAAAAATTAAAAAAAATTAAAAAATAGTAGATTATATAGCAAAAATAAATTGAACTTTTTTTTTACATGTTAATTGCAATTTTTTTTTTACTTACATGTAAATTTTAATTTTCTTTACATATAAAATATTAATTTGTAATTAGTATTACATAAATAAATAGAAAAATAGTTCAAATACTATTCAAATAGTTTAATAAAATCTATTATAGTAAATTAGTAACAAATATTTTATTAATTATATTTTCTTTTTTCAAATAAAATTCTAGTATATACTTAATCTTTATAATAAGATTGCTAAAAATACAAATCAAAACTTCTTCATTTATGTTGAAATATTAATGCTATTTGAATTTGAAACTTTGTTTGATGTTATTTCTTTATGTTTGTCTAAGAGGAACAGAAAAAAATTAAACAAATATTAAAATTAAACAAGGTTTAGTAGGTTTCAGTAAATCTAAAATAGGTCATACTTGTTTTTGTTTGTCTAGCTTTCTGATCTGCTTCAAATTTTTATATAATACTCTAATATTTAATTTTTAAGAGAAACTTTGAAGATGCGAGAAAAAATTTAAATGAAGTTTTAAATTCAAATAGCCTAAGTTTAAATTCTTTTTTATTTTAACTTGTTTATCTTTGAATTGTTATCATATGTTAGTTTACATATTAGATACTATTGCTGCATTATGCAAAAAGCTAATTTTATAATAACTAGACTCAATATATAGAGCAGGCTTTAACATCTTCTGCAACTATAAGAACTGAGTATACAGTGAATACTTTTACAGAAGACTCTTAACTATCTTTAGTTTCTAATACTTCAACACCTACTGAAGAAAACTCATGCTATAATAAATATCTTTTATACTATAACTTATCTCTACTACAAAGTCTACAAACACTTAAATTCTTTTATCAACATCTTCAACAAACTAATCATACTCAAAATCCAAAAATTTCTATTAATATATCTAAAACTAAAACTCATATCTATATTAAACATAATGAAAACCTTCTTTCAAATCATACTATTCTACCTCCTCAACATCAACTTCAATATCTCTATTTGCTATTAAAATCAAACTCAACTGACACTTCTAATTCAAATAATAATTCTAATAACAATATTTCAATAGAATATACTTCTCTTGCTTTAAAAATAGTTTCTATAAATATCAATGGTCTCTTACAATCTAACAAACAACTTGCTTTAACTGAAACTCTTAATAATAATTCTTTGAAATTTTAAGAATATCAGAAACATATTTCTTTACAAAACAAGAAAACTTTTTCAGCAAAAATATTCAAAATTACAAAAGCTACTAGAGCTCTTATACAAATACATATTAAGCAGGAGTAGAGATATTTATTTACCAAAATATTTCAAAATATATTGCTCAAATACATAGCTATAATAGACATATTATTGGCCTGGATCTCTATTTCAAAAACCAACTAATTAGACTATTACAAGTCTATATTCTAATATTTAAAAAAAAGTAACTTTACAAAGAAATCTAAGAAAATATAATCTCTCTAATACAAAATACAAAATATAAAACAATAATTATGAGAGACTTTAATAGTATTCCAAATACACATATTGACTAAAATCCTTCTAAAAAAACATCAATACCTGAGCTTCAACTTATTAAATATCTAATTAGTCATCAATTTAAAAATATCTATTGCATATTCTTTTTTAACTCTAAAAACTATATATTTTACTATCAAAATATACAAAGCAGAATTAACCAAATTTGAACAGATTTATCAATTCTAAATATTGACTATGCAGATATACTTCCTGACAACATATTCGAATTTGATCATAATACTACAACTATTGAAATCTTGATTATAATCAACAAATCTAAACCTCAAAAACAACACAAATATAAATGCTTTCTCTAGAAAAATTGCATTAAAGAAAAAATTAAAAACTATTCTGAACAAATAGCAGCAAGCCTTTAAAAAATCTCTTCAAAAATAAACAATATATCTAACCAAAATCAACTCAACAATTGTTAGAATCAGATTCACAAAGCAATAATCAAAGCTATTACCAAACACATTCTTTTCAAAAAAATAAAAACAATTAAAGAATTAAAAGATAACATACCAATCAAACAATCATCACTTTTTTACAGATATAAACAAATTCAATATCTCAACAATCATTTTATATCTTCAAATTTTAATACTTTACTTTCTAAATATTTAACAGATTACCTAAATAACTCACTTATATCTACTACATCTACTTTTGACCAAATCAAAAACAAATTTCAACATATCAAAACTGTACTCAACTATCAAGAAAAACAAAATACCTATAATGAGATTAAACAAAAAATAGAAAACTGTAATAAATCTTTTAAAGAAACACCAAAACTTTTTTACAAAAAAAATATTAGAAAAATATAACAATCTTAACTTAGACAGACTACTAATAAATGATAACCTATTTACAGAACATGATAAAATCTTAAATACAGTCTAATATCATTTCTCTAACTACTTTGAGAATAAATCTACTTAACCAATATTAACAACTTCTGAATTCTATCAACTATATCAACCATACCCAGAACTTAAATACTATTACCAAAACCTTTTTACAGAAATATCTGATCAAGAATAGCAAAAAACTCTTGCTAGCCTTTCTAACCAAAAAGTAGCTAGCCTTTCTAAAATCTGCTATAAGCATATTAAATACTCAAACCAAAAAATACAAAAAATTCTAAAATTATTTATTAACAAATGCTTTTAACTTCAAAAAGTTCTAACAGAATGGAAATTCTCAAATATTTTTCTAATTCTAAAGAAATCTAATTAGGACTTTACTCTTAATCAAGTTAGGTCTATCTCTATAATTAAGCCATTCAAAAAAACTCTTATCAAAATATTTACTAAATGACTTGACAAAATAATCTCATCAAATAATCTTCTCTCTAATCTAAACTTTGCTAGTACCAAAAATATATCATACATATACTAATTCAAATCCTATATAATACAATAGAATATTACAAATTTCAAAATAAAGAAGCATAGATCCTATTTCAAGATATGTTCAAAGTATTTGATAAAATAAATATCTCTCGCCTTCAAGAAACATGCAGAAGAATTAGCATTCTAACTAATAGTACAAATTTTATAACTAAACTACATACCTCTCGATAAGCAAAAATTATTATATATAGCATATGGTCTTACTACTCCTATTCAATTAAGCTCTGGTATTGAATAAGAAGAAACATATTCATTTCTGCTCTAGAAAATCTATTATGATCCAATCTTTATCTTTATTTCACAAAAATATAATAACCATCTCCTAAAAATATCTACTCAATCTTCTCTTGAACTTATCTCAAATACTACTACATCAACTATTACTATTCCTCCTCTAGCATATATGGATGACACAATATGGCACTATAAAAATCAAAAAACAATGCAAAATATTCTTAATAATACATTAGTACTCTATGAACTTAATAACTTAACTATCAACTTATCTAAATCTGATCTACTACATATTCACTTTAAATCCTCTAAATCACAACTAATTATACTACTTACTTACAGAAACCAAACTATTACACCAAGAAAATCTAAGGAAATAATAAGATATCTTGGTATATTTTATGATAGAAAAGGCTCAACTAAACCAACTCTTGAAACAATTTACAACAAAATTGAAAACTTCCTTTTCTTAATTAAATACAAAAAGCTTTCACTATCACAAATCTCTTTTCCATTTAACCTCATACTTCAACTCTCTTTATAATATTTACTTCAAATAGTCTCTATTCATAAAAACATACAAACAAAACTCTCTCGTCTCCTTACAATTCAAACTAAAAAAATACTCTCCTTAGCAAAAAATACTAACAATATTGTTTTAACAAATCCACTCTTTTTCAATCTTCTAATACTTAATAATATTATTCAAAAAGTAAGTGTTTCAAATATTAAGTGTACCTTTACAACAGATCTACTTCTCAAAAAAATTAGAACTCTATATATTAAATTCTAGCTATCCAAAATTTGGTATTCTAAAATAACTGAAAATCTATTACTTACTAATATTCATAAAGCATGAAACTATACTATTATATTCCATCTTTCTTAATTAGCAAAAAACAATATTACTTTATCTAACTTTTCTCAAATTTCTACATACTCTTCAACAATTCTAGAAAATTCACCTCTTATTTATGAAATACTTCCTACAAATCCACATAGTCTAATTACTAATAGTCTTAAAAACAACAAAATTCTTTTCATTGAACAAATTACTATAGCTAATAACAACTATTTTCTACTATGGAATAATATCTATCTTCAAACAAACAAACTAATTAGAGGTCGTACACCTAATTGGTTTAAACAAATCTTATAACTTATTCAAACAAATACAATTCCTAATAGTTAGCCACAATTAAATCTACTTCAAATCAATTCTTTTATTAATACAATTAATTTCATCTCATTAAATCTCTCTTTAAACTATTTTCTATTCAAACTTCACTTTTTAAATTCTCAAAACCTTTATATTTCCTACTATCTTAACTCTCAACAAACTCATCTTTAGAACAAATACTATTAACACAAATACCATCACTACTAAATTCAAATCTCTCTATTCTTAATCTTTCTTATATTAAAATCAACAAAAACAATAATCTGACTTCAATTCAAATAAACTACAAAAAAATTCTAGCTCTTATCCATATTTATAATATTACTAAAAATCAACTAATCCCTCAAATTTTATTACAATTAAACTTAGGATCCTCGGAAACACAACTAATACAACAAACTATTAATTCATCTACTTACCAAAATCAATTAACTAGTCTTTTTCAATCTATTAATAACTTACAAACAAACGACTTATAATTTTATACAGATGTCTCAATTAAAAATATACTAACACCTAATATTTAAGCAAGCATAAAATAAATTTGCATGAACAATATATCTATTAAATTTAATGCAGTATTGCTACTCTATTTAGACTTAACTTACATTGAATTATTTTTAATTATTATATTTTTACTTACTATCTCAACAAATTCTACTCTAACTATCTTCACAAATAGTAAAGTAGCAATTAAAAATCTAACAAATATCTCTTCTATTAAACCAATTCAAAGCAAAAACTAGGGTATATTACAAATAATCAACTTACTTAAAAATTTCAAAAATCTTAATCTTATACTATCCAAAGTTAAATCTCATTTTACAAACTCTTTTCATAATCAAGCAGACTTACTTGCCAAACAAGGAACCTCCAAATCTATCATTGAACTCTCTCTCTTTTTATTCGATCTTCCTACTTATTTTTTTTGAAATAACTATTTCATACCACTTAAAATTCACTCCTTTATCAAATCTCTAATAACAATTTATGAACTCTCATCATAGACCTCACTAAAATTTTTTCAAAATATAACAGAAATTAAATAGGCCTTAATATTTAAAATACTAAACTCCCTTGAACACAATTCACAAATTTATATATTCTGCATTAAAATTCTAACAAATAACTTTTCTACAATGCAAAATCTAAATATTCGCTATCTCTATCTATATACAACTTCTAATTTACACAATGTCTAACTACTGAAAATACAATTTATATTCTTCTTTGTTCTAAAAACTTTTCAAATATTCAACAATCACTAATTAATACAATTAATAATACTTTAACATCACTCAAAATCTCAGCAATCTCTGCTCATACACTTCTTAACATCCTTCTATATTTTACATTAAACTCTTCAAATCCCCAATATTACTATATACTAGAGGCCTGCATTGGGTCCTGCAGCCTGATCTGGCCTGCAAATTTTTACAGGCCAAACTGGGCCTGAAACAAAATTTTATAACTGCAAGCCAATGCAAGTCTAAAAATTTTTTAAAATTTATAATAAATTTTGTACACTAGGCTGGTTTAAGCTAGCCTGAAGAAAAATTTATATATATGTGAGCTAAGCTGAGCTAGCAAAAAAATTTTAAACCTAAGTGTGAGCTGGACTAAGTTGGGCCAACAAAAAAATTTTAAAACTAAATGCAAGCTGAGCTGGGCCACAAAAATAGGTAATTTGCAGACCTCTACCATATACTATTATTCATAATTAGCACTTTCCTACTTATAATATATACTAACATTAAAAATATTATTCAAAAACAAACAGATCTCCTTCTTATAAATCTCTTTAACAATTTACTTATTTG